TATATATATATTAGGGAAGGGTCTACAGGGTGTTCAGGGTCTCACCACTAGATTGGACTAGTAGTTATCTGCCTGTTTACAGCCTCCCAAGTGCTGGGAGTCAGGGTCCAGATCTACCAAGTTCAGATTTATCCAGGTGGGCCTGGCTTGGGTGGGGCTGCTGTGCCCTGCTATTTCCTGCTGTAGCCCATGGAAGTGAACCCTCTGTGCTCCTCCAGCAAGACATTCTGCTACCGGATTAGTTGGGTGGGTCTTGCCCCTTTCTTCTCTGCAGGTAGTTCTGCTGCAGGGTTCCACACTAGGCCTTTCTGATGAAGGAGGTTCCAGTGAAAGTGAGGAAGGTCCCACACACACACTGGGCCTGGTAATTTGCTGGAGTAGAATTAGGTGGCAGCAATGTTTTAATTTGTACTTCTCTAACATACTTATTGGGCATTTGTGTGGCTTATGAAAAGTGTCCATTCATTCAGTTTCCCATTTATCTACTTATTTTTTATTTTGAGAGGGTATTTTAAAAATTCTTTTAAAATTTTCTTTTAATCTTTTATTTATTTACTTATTTATTTGATATAGGATCTCACTATTCAGCTTGAACTCATAGTGATCCTCCTGTCTCAGTCTCCATAGCACTGGGATTACAGAGGTATGCCAGCACACATGGTTTTGGGGCTGGCATGGTGTGCCTGGGGATCCCAGGCCTACATGGCATGTGGTACTGGGGATCAAACCTGAGTCCTTGCACTTGCCAGGCAGTAAGTCGACCGATGAGCTATCTTTCTGGCCCTATATCCTTTCATCTACATGTTGAAAACTAGTTTTCCAAACAATATTTATTAAAAAGACTGTCTTTTCTGCAGTGTAGGCTTTTGGTGCCCTTGTCAAAGATCAGATGGCTCTCTGTGCCTGGGGTTGTTACTTGAAATTTTTCTTTTTTCTTTTTTTCCTTCCTTCTTTCCTTTTTTTTTTCGAGCCAGGTCTTACAGTGTAGTTCAGACTGGCTTTAAATTCATTGTGTAACTCATGTTGGTCTCAAGGTTCTGGCTATCCTCCTGTCTCAGCCTCCTGAGTACTGAGATTACAGCCACATACCCCCATGCTTAACATCTGAAGATTTTCTACATGACCCACATGTCTCTTTTTTGTGCCAGGATCGTGTTGTTTTTTAATTTATTTTCAAATCAATCTTTGTAACATAACACGATATCTGGGATTGTGATACCTTCTGCTTTGGTCATGTTGCCTAGGACTATTCTTGCTATTATGGATGTCTTGTGGGACCATACACATTTTAGATTTTTTTTTCTAGTTCTCTGAAGAATACCATTGGTATTTTGATCATGATTGCATTAAACCTATACATCAGTTTCAGTAACATGGCCATTTTCACAGTAGGCATTCTTTCTATCTAGGAATAAGATTGTCATTCCATTCTCTCTCTCTCTCTCTCTCTCTCTCTCTCTCTCTCTCTCTCTCTTTCTTTCAGGGGGATGTACCAAGGCAGTCCCTCGCTATCACAAATTATGCAGTAGAATTTCCCACCTTTGGGGAAATTGCAGGGGTCGGTACGTATGGAGTGCAATGGGTGAGCCTTGCCCTGGGAATAGCACCTTTGCTGTCATGGTGCTTCTCCTACCATGTGACGATTGTCGTTTTATTTTCTGATGTCCTCTTCAATCCTGTTTTACAGGATAATATTTTTTTTCTTGTAGAGATTTTTTTTTTTTTTTTGCAGTACTAGGGATTGAACTCAAGATCTTGTGCTTGCCAGGCAAGCACTTAGTCTACTGAACTATCTCCTCAGCCTCTGTAGAGATGTTTAATGTCTGGATTGGTTAATTCCTAATTTCACACTTTTGGAGGTATAGTAAATAATGGGACTGTGCTCCTGGAATCTTTTCTTGGTGGCTTTATTGTTAGTATATAGGAATACTGTTAATATATTACTTTTTTATTTTTAAATGGTACAAACTAGTGATATAAAAATTAGAAACAATATAAGATTTCACTAAACAAAGTAACAGGAATTCAACAATGGTTTCTGTACTACATGATGCTATCTTTCAATCAGTCGTTCAGATTACCAGATATAAATGTGTAAGATCCATTTAAAGAAGAAGACAAAACCTGTTATGGTTTTGTCTTATAACAAAGAACTTATAATAAATTCAAAACAGGAAAAAACAGAGTAAAAAGGTTCTTTAAGCATTAACTGCTCCTCTGAAAAGACCAGCAGAAATCTACAATGCAATTATTTAAACTATTCTGCATATATACTGATATATTTTTCCCTTCTTTCATTTGTGGTTTTCCTCATCCCAGTTTTTCCTTCCCATTGAGCAATTTCTTTCCCTGTCACAGTATCTGTTGTACCTTTTAGCTTTTATTTACTATTTCTGTTTCTCACACTAGTGAGATAATACAATGTCTGCACATGTGGATCTGATTTATTTTACTTACCAATATAGTCTCTAGCTGCATCATTTATCACAAAAGCCTCAAATTTATCTTTTTATAGCTGAACAATACTCCATTGTACAAAAATGCCACATCTTTTTTATCCATTCCTCAGCTGATGGGTATTTGGGTTGTTTCCAAGGTTTAAGTATGACAAGTTGTGCTGCTGTAGACAAGGGTACACACATATCACTGTGGTACAATAATTTCAGTTGTTTTGGAAAAATATGTAGAAGAGGAATAGCTGGCTTGCATGGGAACTCGGATCTTAGCTTTCTGAGGAATTTCCATGCTGATTTCCATAATGGTTATACTAGCCTGAACTCCCACCTCCCCTACAACGTCTCCAGCATTTGTTATTCATTGACTTCTTGATGATAGTTGGAATACTGTTAATTTTTGTGTATTTTCTATCCTGCTATTTTTGTTTATTAGTTCTAGAAATCTTTTGGTTAAATTTCTTGGGTTTTCTATGGAAAGGACCATGCTATCTGTGATTGAGGACATTTTGACTTTTTTCTTCCTTATACTACCAGGTCTATTTGTTGTTCTTGCCTAATTGATCTGGCTAAAGTTTCTAGTACTACTTTGACTAGTAGTCATGAGAATGGGCAGCCTTGTCTTAATCCTGATTTTAAAGGAAAAGTTTCCAGTTTTCCCTCATTTAGTGTACGTTGGCTGTACATTTGCCATAAATGGCTTTTAACAGTGTGAGATAAGATCCTTCCTGCAGGGTTTTTTGTCATTAATGCATGTTGGATTTTGTCAAAGAGTTTTTCTGCATCTACTTAGATGGTCATGTGGTTTTTGTCCTTGCTTTTTTATGAGGCTTTAAATTTATTGATTTATGTATGTTGAGCTATCCTTGCATTTCTGAGATGAACCTAAATTGGTTATCTTATATGATCTTTTAATAATCTGTCACATTCTATTTGGTTTTCTTTGTTTCTTAAGTTTCTATCCCATTTGTTTAATCTACATGATTCTGTAAAATTTTTGTTGGACTTTTGCCTTTGTTTTCTACCTTCATTCCTCTATGATCTTATAGTATGCAGAGTAACATTTGAATTCATTTGTGCTTATTTATGCATGCTTGATAGTCTAAGAGAAATTGTTTAGTTTGAAGAAAATTCCTTCTGTTAACAAAAATGTATGTTCTGTTGTTGTTGGATGAAATATTCCATAAACATTGGTTAAATCCATTGTTCAATGGTGTGGATTACCTCTGACTTCATTTGCTCAGTTGATTTAGTTGTGAGAGTAGAATGTTCTAGTTCCCTGTTAGTGTTTATTAGTCTGTGTCCTTTCTAATATTTGATAGTTTTTGTTTATGAAATGGTCTTACCAGGATTTGCTGCCCAGATTTTCATAATTGTTAGCTTTTCCTGTTGACTTGCTTACCATTATGTAGTGGTCATGTTTGTCTCTTCCAATCCATTTTGACTGAAGATCTACTTTATTTGAAAGATAGCTATTACTGCTTGCTTTTGTTCTCTGGTTAAATGGAGTATCATTTTCTGTCTTTCACCTTTTAACTTCCTTTGGGATTATGTGTGTCTCCTCTATGTGGCGTATAGCTTCACTTTGGTTTTCAATGCAGTCTGCCAGTCTCTTTTGCCTGGAGAGGTGCGCCCACAAACACACTTTCACTAACTCCTGTAAATTATTTTTTCAATATTGACCCTTTGAATTTTTCCTTTTTGTTTACTACTCCCTCATTAAGAAGTCTACTGCCCTATGCCCTTTTGGAGCTGGTGGACTCCCTGTCTCTATCTAGGAATCTTTTGAGTGTGTCAGGCAATACTGGTTCAGTGCTCATAGGTTGGAAATTTCTTTGTCATAGAAAGTCTTTACTTTTCCATCAATATTGAAAGCTAATTTGGCAGGTTATAGAAGTCTGTGTTCCACTGTCATTTAGTTCTAGGAATCTGTTTTTATCTAGAAGTCTGTTTTTCCTTAAAAGCTTCAAACTCTCGTGGCCTTTAAGGGTTGTGTTGAGAAACGCTTGGTAGTTTTGATAAGCTTGCCTTTAAAACTATCTTGTTGCTTTTCTCTAAAGCTGTTAATATTATCTTCTTTCTTTGAATTTCTGGAATTTTCGTTATGATGTGTTGTGGAAAAGTTCTCTTGTAGTCATAAATGTTCTATATGGTTCTTTATTCAGTTATAGAATTAGAAAGCTCTGCTATGATTTCAGAAAATATATTTTATATTTTTTAATTTCTCTTCTCATATTTTATTTATTCTTGTAATTTTTTGCATCATTCAGTTGCTATTGGATTTGGCTTGCATAGTGACATCTTTAAGGTATCAGTAAGTTTACAATATACTGTATTCATTTTGACTTCAGTCTCTCGACACTCTGCCCACAAATTGGTTGAATTTGTTAGCTATGCTCTTTTTTAAATTGTTCGTATCTTGCATTTCTGCTTGCTTTATTTCATAATTTTTAATTCTTTATTCAACTGCTAATTTATGTCTCATATTGTCTGATTCAGTTATTGTTTGTCTTTTTCTTTAACCTTATTGAACATTGTTATTAATATCTTTCATAGTTTTAATAAAATCCTCTTTAAGCTCCCTAGATATGTTATAAAATTGCTTTTGTGATTCTTCCTTGAACTCTTCAAACAACTTGACCATTTGGTTCTGTGTTGTTAGAAATTTTCTCTAACTCAGTGTCTGTGAGGTCAGTTTTTGAGAGGCCTATTGTTGGTAGAGGCACCTTGTTGCCTTGCATCCTCATGTTTCTAAAATTCTGTGCTGAAGACTAGTTATGGTATAAAACTCAGTCACTCCTGAGGAGATGCAGAAAAGGAGTAAGATGGTTTCTCTGTTTACTTAGTTTGGCACCATTCAGCTTTAGAATAGGAGTTAGAGTGTTGGCTCTTTTTTTTTCTTCATTTTAAAAACACTTTAAGCAACCAAGAGTTCAGAAAAGTGAACAAAAAAGGAAATAGAACAAAAAATAGAATAAGACACACTCTATTTTGTCAGTAGTTACATTAGATGTAAGCAGCATGAACACATTAATTAAAAGACAACCATAGGCAGAATATTTGGAAGAATATGAATTGACAATATATTGCTTACAGGAAATTCATTTCAGATATGAAATGAATTCAACTATGTTATCCATCTATAAATCATAAGGGAACTGCTATGGATTGAATGTCTGAAATCTTCTAAAACTCATGCTAAAGACCCACAAAGAAGGGGCAGGGGAGAGAGCTCAGTAGAATGAGCACTTGTCTGGCAAGCATAATGGCCTGAGTTCAACCCCTGGTTCCAGAAAAAAAAAAGACCCAGAAAGAGTGATACTTGGGGAAAAAAAGTAAGCTGAAGAAGGCTGGTAAGGCTACATTAGTATCAAATTAAATAGACAATAAGACAAAGAGTACTATCATAAATAAAAAGGAACTTGCTGTAATGATAAAAAGAGAAATCCATCTGAAAGGCATAACAATTATTAAAATATATGTGTCTAATAACAGAACCTTAAAATATATGAAATAAAAATTGATATCACACCACTGTTATAATAATGCATTTTTATTTATATCTTTAAGCAAATTATAGAGCAACCAGATCAAAACCCCAAAAAATCAGGAAACAAAAAAAAAAGATTTGAATACTAATATCTAATATCAATATAATCAACATTCACATATTCCATTTATCAACCATAGAATATTCTCTTGAAGTGTACACTTACCAAGATAAACTGTATGCTAAGCTATAAGACAAATCTCAATAGTTTGTTGCTTTTTGTGTGTTTGATTTTATTTTGATAACCTGGTCTTGCTGTATAGCCCAGGCTGGCCTTTTCTTTTTCTTTTTCTTTTTTTTTTGAATTTTAGAGAATTATTTCTGAGATATATATGTAGCACGAGATTAATAAGGGTTTGCACATTGTTGTAAATAAATTATTTACAAACATAAGTGAATCAAGCAGTAAAAATTGTCCAAAGTAAAAATGAAGAATTTACAGATCAGTCATACAGTAGTTCACTCTGTGACAAAATCAAGAAACTTATTATTCATACAATTAGAATTCTCAAAGTAAAAAGGGGTTGGCAATAAACATTTAAAGATTTAAAATTTTTTAATTTAATTGAAATTTTAGCACCACATTTCCAAGAAAAATAAATCTTTTGCACAAGAAATTTGAGTAAAATCTTATCAAGATA